TTTTCTAGGTGATGCAGGGATTCGTTCTTTAGGTTCTCTAGTTTCAACGCCTCTTCTTGAGCTTCAAGAATTTGCATTTTTAGATTTGTTTGGACCAACAATCCCATGGCTCATACTCTTGACGGTTTCAGTTTTTCTTTTCGGCTTAAGGGGTCCGCTACCATGTTAGCTTTTCCCGGGTGATACTTAATTTCGCAATCATAATCGCTGAGAAGTTCAACCCACCTCCGTTGCCTCATATTCAACATATTTTGATCAAATATATGTTGAAGACTTTTATGATCGGTGAAAATGGTGCATTTGGTGCCGTAAAGATAGTGCCTCCATACCTTAAGTGCAAATACTACTGCTCCCAATTCAAGGTCATGCGTAGTATAATTCTTCTCATGCACTTTAAGTTGTCTCGAGGCATATGCAATGACCTTATCTTTTTGCATCAATACGCATCGTAAGCCTTGATGCGATGCATCAGAAAAGACTACAAAGTTTTCCGAACCCTCTGGTAAGAATAAAATAGGTGCATTGCATAGTTTCTGCTTGAGAGTCTCGAATGCTTCCTCTTGTTTCTCACCCCAAATAAATTTCTTGTCTTTTTGGGTTAAGGCTGTGAGTGGTTGTGCGATTTTCAAAAAGTTTGCGATGAACCTTCGATAATAACCTGCCAAACCAAGAAATTGTCGGATCTCGGTTGGGGTTCTTGGGGCTTTCCAATTCCTAATAGCCTCGATCTTGGCAGGATCTACCTGAATTCCTTTTTCATTAACTATGTGACCAAGAAATTGTACTTCTCGTATCCAAAATTCGCATTTGGAGAATTTTGCGTACAATTTCTGGTTCCAAAGTAGCTCTAATATTATCCTCAGGTGTTGCTCATGATCCTCCTTGCTTTGTGAATAGATCAGTATATCATCTATGAAAACGATTACGAATTTATCCAAGTAGGGTCGGCAGACTCTGTTCATTAGATCCATAAAGACAGCCGGTGCATTGGTTAGCCCGAATGGCATAACCATAAATTCGTAATGACTGTACCGGGTCCTGAAGGCTGTTTTGGGAATGTCCTCTTCCCGAACTCTCACTTGGTGATATCCGGATCGTAGATCAATCTTGGAAAAATAAACCGCGCCTTGGAGCTGATCAAACAGATCATCGATTATAGGAAGAGGGTATCTATTCTTGATGGTCAACTTATTAAKTTCCCTATAATCAATGCACATTCGCATTGACCCATCTTTCCCTATAATCGGTGCACCCCATGGTGGGTAACTTGGTCTTATGAATCCCCTATCTAATAACTCCTGGAGTTGGGTTGACATTTCTTGCATCTCCTATGGTGCCAAGCGATATGGTGCCCTTGCCACTGGGGTAGTTCCAGGAATTAAGTCGATACCGAATTCGACTTGCCTTTGTGGGGGTAGACCTGGTAAATCCTTAGGAAATACATCAGAGAACTCCCCGAACTACAAGAAAATCCTCAATACTTTTCTCCTTGACCTTTCCGTCAATCACATGTGTCAGAAATGCAGTGTAATTCTTTTTAGATACTTTCGCATCTTCATGCAGGATACCATCTTAATCTTTCGATCCAACTTGTCTCCCTGGACCACAATTGGTTCCATTCCATCCTGAGGAATCCGGATAAACTTCTCTGAACATACAATCTCAGCTTGGTTTTTGGATAGCCAATCCATGCCTATAATTATGTCAAAACTTCCTAGTTTGATCGGTATAAGGTCTATGCTAAAGTCCTTATTGGCTAAGCACAAAGTGCAATTCATAATTATGTTTCTAGCCTTGAATTCTTGACCATTGGCAAACTCAATTACAGAGGCTTCTTTCAACCTCTGGGGCTTTAGGTTAATGTTCTGCTTAAAGTCTAGTGACACAAAACTTCTATCTGCCCCTGAGTCAAATAGGACTGATGCAAATTCATTATTCAGAAGAAACGTACCTGAAACCATGTTGGGATCCTCTCTAGCTTCTCTGGCTCCGATCTCAAATGCTCTGCCCCGTGCCTGACCTCCTGGGTTTCCGGGACTGACCTGCCGGGTTTGGCTTGCATTTGCTCCTGATTTCCTCTTTGGACAAACATTCCTCATGTGATCTGAATTCCCACAATCGAAACATGATCGTCTCCGACAATCCTTTGCTGTGTGACCCCCTAGATGGCATCTTTGACAAATGATGCAATTCCCCTGATGCGGATATTTGCACTTATTGCACTTAGCCATGTCTCCTTGCCTTACCACCTGCGTCTGTGCTCCAAAATTCCTTACTACCCTCCTGCTTCTGTCAAATTTTCCCCCAACTCTTCGATCCCCATGCTCCTCCATCTTTCTCTTTCCCTTAACAAATCCTCCAGATCGAATAGCATTATTCGTGAGCTTAGTGGCAATGTCTATTGCCTCCTGAAGAGTCTTTGGATTGGCCGAGGTAATGTTTCCCCGAATTTCTGAAGACAATCCCTAAATATACCTCTCTATGCGAACTTCCTCTGGCGTTACTAGATGTGGCACTAGATTTGCCAACTCATGAAATYGAGCCGTATATGCAGATATATTATCCCCTTTCATTTCAAGATTCCATAACTCCATTTCCAGCTTTTGAAGTTCACTTCTGGGGCAGTATTCGGCCTTAAGGAGTTTCTTGAACTCCTCCCACGAAAGTGGGTTGACCGCTTCTCGACCTCTAGTCTGTACCAATGTATTCCACCAGGTAAGTGCCCTCCCTTGTAACAAACATGCCGCATACTCCACTTTATTTACTTCAGAGCACTTACTAATATGGAGGACAGATTCCATACTCTCTATCCAAGTCAATATTCCTACTGCCCCCTCAGTCCCATTGAATTCTTTTGGATTGCGGGATCTGAAGGTTTTGTAAGTGCATTCTCTGGAAGGTCTAGGCTCAGAGTTCGTTGGTTGGTTAACATTCAAGCCAGTAGCCACTTCCTTAACTATGTTAGGAAGTGCGGCTAGAAGTTGCTCTGACACAAGTTGCGCAATGTCGGGATTTTCTCTCCTTGGTGGCATCTCTTTAGATCCTAGTCAGAAGGGAATTCGTAAATTTTATGGCAATAACAAGGGTGATAGCTTCCTAGTTAGTTCGATGATACCAAAAATGTTCTTCGCATGGAAAAATAATCAAGCATTACTATAAACAAATTAGAGTAAACTCATTCATACAATGACTTGACATAAATAAGCATTCTTCAAAAGGTATTCATGTATTGATATACGGTGGTAGCTACAAAACATGATCTTTAGTAACAGTGCAAAAGAGTGAGCATCCTATCCTTAATTCTTCTTCTAGAACATCCATCCTATGATGATTCCCATCATTAGCATTATCACACCACTTGCTACCATCCATTTGTACAATCTCCTTATTTCCTGCCTTGCTGCAGCGACATGATCCGTGTTCCTTAACATACTCTGATGGTGTGCTTCCATCACATCGGACAGATTGTTTAGGATGTGATGGTGATATCCCAACCGGGTCTGGTGCACTTGCGTATCAGATGCAATTCTCCTCACCTAGTCTCTTTCAGCCGGATTCATGCCCTGAGAGTAGGACGCAAGTACCCCGGTCACCACTTGAGTTATTCTGTTCCTCAATTGAGGTTGGGATGACTCCCCGATGACCCTATTAGAGTCCTCAAATGCCACACGACGCGGTAGTGGGATGTTCTTTCTTGGCGTGACTCTGATCCTTGAGCCATGATAGGTTCGTGGTGGAACATCGGGTACTGGCTCCGCCGGGGGTAAGAAAGATGCTTGTGGAGTGGCAGCTGCTTCACTGGTTGCAGTGTCATGCTCATACGGGTCTATCTTTTCATCGTGAGCTAAGTTCCTTCTAGAGTGACCAACCACGTAACCGGATTCATCGGCTGAGTATTCACTAGGATCGGACGACATCATAGAGATCTGCGACATTAATAATCTTAATTACTAAAATGGACCATCTAACAAGCGCTTAGTGATACAATGGAAGCTTCCAAACAATGCTTAATGGTGACAATCGTGCTGGATCCTCTGGACATTGCCTCTGGTTACACTACCAGAGCTTCTGTTTGCATGACCAGAGCTTCTGGTCGCACTAAAGTCCTTAGGGAAGGATTTCTTATCCATCGGTTCTCTGACAACCCAATGGAATTCTATTTTTATCAACCGCTGGCTTAACCTTCACACTTAGAACAATAATGAATTTCTTGTCCATCGATCCTCTGGTTCTTATGCTTGCCCTTACCAGAGGTTCTGGTTGCGAGACCAGAGCCTCTGGTTCAACATCTATACTTAGAGAAATACTAAGTAGCCCGTCCATCGGTCCTCTGGTTCTTACACGATACAACATAAGGAGACCGCTAATCCATCGTCTCTGGTCCTTATAACCAGAGCTTCTGGTTTATCATGGACACCTAACAAAATTAAGGAATTTTTTCTACCCATCGCCTCTGGTCCTCTTGACAAGCGCCTCTGGTCCTACACGGACACAATTAATTAAGGGATTTTCTACCCATCGTCTCTGGTCCTCTTGACCAGCGCCTCTAGTCCTACACGGTCACTTAACTAATCAAAGGGATTTTCTGCTCATCGCCTCTGGTCCTCTTGACCAGCGTCTTTGGTCCTACACGGACACTTAACTAATCAAAGAGATTTTTCTACCCATCGCCTTTGGTCCTCTTGACCAGCGCCTCTGGTCCTACACGGACANNNAACTAATCAAAGGGATTTTTTTACCCATCGCCTCTGGTCCTCTTGACCAGCGCCTCTGGTCCTACACGGACACTTAACTAATCAAAGGGATTTTTGTTAATTAGCCATTTCCTCATTACACTTCGACTCATTTAGTATCCTTTTGATCCAATTAGACTCTTCTAGAAGAAATGAGCCCATTATGCCCATTAGGGTCTAATGAGACTACTTATGACCTACTTAGTGTCATTTTGACCCAATTGGACTTCTTAAGGAGAAATAGCCTATTATAGCCTCCAACACAAAATGGACCTGGTAAGGACAAAAAAAACCCATTCTACCTTACTTACTCCCATTAACTTCTCATTGGACTAATTGTGACCGATTTACTACCATTACAACTCAATTAGACTCAAATTGGAGAAGGAAGCCCCGCTGTTTGTCTCTTTCTAGGATCCCTCCAAGGGCCTACAGAAGCCTGAGCACAATTCTTGCCCGTTGTGGGTTAAGTTTTTTAATATCCCTCTAGTTGCTTTCAATAAAGAGGGTATTAGTCGTATTGCTAGTGCCATAGGCGTCCCATTACGTTTAGATGCTTGCACTGCCTCCACTTGTGATAAAGCATGGGGTCGTACTAACTTTGCTAAAGTGTTGGTGGATGTGTGGGCCGTGGGTGAAATGCAGAGGAATATTGAAGTGGTTATTCCAAGGCTATCAGGTACTGGAGAGGATATCATTAATGTTGTTCTGGAATATGATTGGGTTCCTTCCCAATGTTCAGTTTGCAAAGTGTTTGGTCATCGAACGGTGTCATGTATGAAAGGGGATAATGCAAAGCCAAGGGTTTCTGATACCTTCACGCAAAAAAGGGGGTTTAAAGAGATCAGGCGGAAACAGTGGAGGCAAAAGGATACATCAGGCCGTAAGGATTTTCAAGCAACATCATCTGGAGCGGTCACAGGTACGCATGATACTTTAACTGGGGTTGGTGATTTAAAACGGGTTCAGGAGGTGTCCAATCCCTCGGGGAACGATCCAAATGTCAAACATGTTTCAAGTTCTGGGGATTCTACGAATTTGGAGGGGAAGGATAATGGAAAGGTGGACGGTYAGTTCTGTACGGTGAATGCGGGACGAACGCCAAGGGGGAGAGAGGATGTTTCCAATGTTAAAATCTTATCGAAAGGGAATCCGGAGTTAGTGCAAAAGGTGGTGCAAGCTTTTAAACCTAGGAGAGGTGCAGTTCTTGAGCTGAAAACTAGCAATCGGTTTTCTTCTTTATCTGACGAGTCTAGTGATGATGACGAAATGGAGATCATTGACACGGAGGGGCACATTAAGGCACAACGAAGAGAGGATGTTCCACCTTCGTCTCAATGATCAAGTTGGCTGCATGGAATATTAAGGGTTTAAATGCCCTTATAAAACGAAAGGAGGTACGTGACCTAATTACTCTCAAACATCTTTCTTTATGTTGCATGATTGAGTCTAAAGTTGTTTATAATCACTTGGGGGATGTGTGTAGTAGTGTCTTTGGTAATTGGAATTGGATTACAAATGGTTCTGTATGTGATCAAGGCACTCGCCTAATTATTGCTTGGGACCCGTCGGTTTTATCTGTTCTTATGATTGAGCAGCATCAACAATACGTACACTGTGAAGTTAGAATTTTTGGTCAACCCGAACCCATCTTTATTACATTTGTTTATGGGTGTAATACGGGTACAGAACGGCGTGAGCTTTGGCGGGCGTTTGGGGAATTTCATGCCTTTAATCAGAGGAAAGCATGGGTTGCGATGGGTGATTTTAATTCAATGCTTTTTCCTCATGATGGTTGGGGGGTTCCTCTAGGAGGAATTATGACATGGAGGAGTTTCATCTCTGTCTGGAGGAGGCAGAATTATTTGACATTTCGTATCAAGGGTGCCAATTTACTTGGATCCAGAAACCTTCGGGGGGAGAGGGTGTTATGCGCAAACTTGATCGTATTTTGGGAAATTCGGCTTTTATCTCTAGATTTGGGGATGCTTCGGCTTTCTTTGAACCTAGGGGGATTTCTGATCATTCTCCGGGTATTCTTTCGTTTCAAGTTGGACGACGTCTTCGACAGCGTGGCTTTAAGTTTGACAATTTTGTGACTTCTCATAAGGACTTCCTTGCTTCTGTGGAGGAGGTGTGGACGAAACCTCAGAGTGGATCTTACATGAAGAGGGTACTTCGGAAATTGAAAGCTCTGAAGGTGGTTTGTCGGCGACTCCGAAATTCGTATGGTTGTTTGGATAAAAGGGTTGTTCAGCTAAAGATGGAACTTGATGTCGCCCATTTGGCTTGTGATCTAGACCCGTTTAATGATTTGCTAAAGGAGGACATCGCCCACCTCTTGTTAGCATATCAAGAAGCTAGGAATGATCAGGTGGAAATGGCTCGTCAAAAAGCGAAGATATCTTGGCTAAATGAAGGGGATGGTAATTCTAAATTCTTTTTTCATGCTATGAAAGAAAAGCGCAATCGGAACCATATTGCTACTATAAGGGATTCGGCTGGCACAGTTTATGATCATCAGGAGGTATCTACAGCGTTCATTTCTCATTTTAAAGGTATTCTAGGTACCTCTAATGTTTTGGTTCCTCCCTCTATGGGGGATTGTGTGTTTGGTCATTCTTTATCGTTATCGGAGTCGCTTCATTTAATTCGTCCTATTTCGGATATGGAAATAAAGGATGCTTTATTTGCCATTGGTAATGATAAGGCTCCAGGCCCTGATGGGTATTCTTCTAAATTTTTTAAATCAGCTTGGAATGTGGTTGGGAGGGATGTTCTCATTGGAATACATAATTTCTTCTATTCTGGAAACTTGGAGTATCAGCTGAATCATACTCTTCTTTGTCTTGTGCCGAAGGTCCCTAATGCTTCTTGTGTTACTGAGTATCGGCCAATTGCTTGTTGCAATGTGTTGTTGAAGTGTATTAGTAAGGTTATTGCTGACCGTATTCGTGACATGGAGGAGGTTATTGCTGACCGTATCAGCAATAATCTTACTAATACACTTCAACAACACATTGCAACAAGCAATTGGCCGATACTCAGTAACACAAGATGCATTAGGGACCTTCGGCACAAGACATAGAAGGGTATGATTCAGCTGATACTCCAATTTTCCAGAGTAGAAGAAATTATGTATCCCAATAAGCACATCCCTCCCAACCACATTCAAAGCTGAGTTAAAAAATTTAGAAGAATATCCGTCAGGTCCTGGACCCTTATCATTTCCAATAGCAAATAAAGCATCCTTTATTTCTATATCCGAAATAGGACGAATTAAATGAAGAGATTCCGATAACGATAAAGAATGTTTCGAATTAAATGAAGAGATTCCGATAACGATAAAGAATGACGAAACACACAATCCCCCATAGATGGAGGAACCAATATATTAGAGGTACCTAGAATCCCTTTAAAATGAGAAATGAAAGCCGTAGATACCTCCTGATGCTCATAGATTGTGCCAGCCGAATCTCTGATAGTAGCAATATGGTTCCGATTGCGCTTTTCCTTCATAGCATGAAAGAAGAATTTAGAATTACCATCCCCTTCATTTAACCAMGCTATCTTCGCTTTCTGACGAGCCATTTCCACCTRATTACTTCTAGCTTCTTGATATGCTAACAAGAGATGRGCGATGTCCTCCTTAAGCAAATCATTAAACGGGTCTAGATCACAGGCCAGTTGAGCGACATCAAGTTCCGTCTTTAGCTGAACGACCCTTTTATCCAAACAACCATACGAGTTTTGGAGCCGCCGACAAACCACCTTCAGAGCTTTCAATTTCCGAAGAACCCTCTTCATGTAAGATCCACTCTGAGGCTTCGTCCACATCTCCTCCACCGAAACAAGGAAGTCCTTATGAGATGTCACAAAATTGTCAAACTTAAAACCACGTTGTCGAAGACGTCTACCAACTTGAAAAGAAAGAATACCCGGAGAATGGTCAGAAATCCCCCTAGGTTCAAAGAAAACCGAAGCATCCCCAAATCTAGAGATGAATGCCGAATTGCCCAATATACGATCAAGTTTGCGCATAACACCCTCACCCCCAGAAGGTTTCTGGATCCAAGTAAATTGACACCCTTGATACGAAATATCAAATAATTCTGCCGCCTCCAAACAGAGACGAAACTCCTCCATGTCTGAGTTCCTCCTAGAGGAACCCCCTAACCCATCATGAGGAAAAAGCATTGAATTAAAGTCACCCATCGCAACCCAAGCTTTCCTCTGATTAAAGGCATGAAATTCCCCAAACGCTCGCCAAAGCTCACCCCTTTCGATACCCGTGTTACACCCATAAACAAATGTAATAAAAATGGGTTCGGTTTGACCATAGATAATAACTTCACTTTTGTACATATTGCTGATGCTGCTCAATCATAAGGACAGATAACACTGACGGGTACCAAGCAATAATTAGGCGAGAGCCTTGATCACATACAGAACCATTTGTAATCCAATTCCAATTACCAAAAACACTACTACACACATCCCCCAAGTGATTATGAACAACTTTGGACTCAATAATGCAACATAAAGAAAGACGCTTGAGAGTAATTAAATCACGTACCTCCTTTCGTTTTGTAAGGGCATTTAAACCCCTAATATTCCAAGCAGCAAACTTAATCATTGAGATGAAGAAGGTAGATTATCCTCTCCTCGTTGTGCCTTAGTGTACCCCTCCGTATCAACGATCTCCATGTCATCATCATCATCACTAGACTCATCCGATAAAGAAGAAAACCGATTGCTAGTTTTCAGATCAAGAACTGCGCCTCTCCTTGGTTTAAACGCTTGCACCACCTTTTTCACTAATTCCGGATTCCCTTTCGATAAGATTTTAATATTAGAAGCATCCTCTCTCCCCCTTGGCGTTCGCCCCGCATTCACCATGCAGAACTGACCATCCACTTTCCCTTTACCCTTCCCCACCAAATTCGTAGAGTCCCCAGCGCTTGAATCATTGTTTACCTTTATATCATTCCCCGAGGGATTTGACTCCTCCTGAACCCGTTTTAAGACTCCAACCCCAGTTAAAGTATCATGTGTACCAGTGACCGGTCCARATGATRTCGCTTTAAACTCCTTACTGCCTGATTTAACCTTAGGCTTCCACTGTTTCCGTCTAATCTCTTTAAACCCCCCTTTTTGCGTGAGGGTATCAGAAACCTTTTGCTTTGCATAATCTCCTTTCGGACATGACACCGTTCGATGGCCAAAAACTTTACAAGCAGAACATTGGGAAGGGACCCAATCATATTCCAGAACTACATTAATGACATCCTCTCCAGTACCTGATAACCTTGGAATAACCACCTCAATATTCCTCTGCATTTCACCCACGACCCACACATCCACCAATACTTTAGCAAAATTAGTACGACCCCATGCTTTATCACAAGTGGAAGCAGTACAAGCATCTAACCGCAATGGGACGCCTATGGCACTAGCAATACGACTAATACCCTCTTTATTGAAAGCAACTAGAGGGATATTAAAAAACTTAACCCACAATGGGCAAGAATTATGTTCAGGTTTCTGTAGGCCCTTAGAGGGATCCCAGAAAGAGACAAACAGCRGCCTCCCTCTAATCATAAGGAGAGACGTCTCAATAACTTGGTTACACCACCCTCATCATTAAAACGAAAGAAGAAATACCCCATATCATTAACCATCGCATCAATTAGGCCAAATTTTCCCCAAGCATTCTGAACCCCACGTAAAACAATGGGGAAAGGAAGACGGGGACCAAGAAAATAACCATAAAGAACCGATTGAAACGATTTAGCCATACCTTTTGTAACATCCAAGGGGAAGCAGATCCGCGGTTTCACACTTTTCTCAACCGGGAAATAAGTAAGCTCATTCAAAGAAGAACCACCCACAATATCTGCAAAGGACTTATTCGGAACCACACCAAGATCACCCCCAACCGCCGGAGAGAGACGTTCCCAAACCGAAACCCTCGAATTTGATTCCACATTCACTCCAACCTTTTTTTGAAGACCCTCATGCAAAGGGGGGCCTTTAACAAAATCTTAGGAAGAATCATCCTCCAAGATAGCATCCGCAAAATCAACCATCCTCACCCCAAAAGGCAAGAATACCTAGTTTACWATAACCCTAATCAAGAAGCCGTGGTGCTGAATCCCTAGCCAAGYAGTCTTAATAAAGTAGACGAAGACCTTGTAAAAAGGTGCTGAATACTCTATCAAGAAACTTAACAAAGGAGACGAAGACCACAGAAACACTTGAATCAGGAAATGAAACTAAATATTATCACCCACAAGTAAATATCACGAGATAACCAAGCAATCCACAAAACTCACGTACGC